TGGGATTGCTTACGAAAATCCTGAGGTGATATGTGAACTGTTTAGCAAGCACTTCGCCAGATTATACACCTTAGAGAACGATGAGGTCGTGGATTTCCCACGTAAAACAGACGAATGTTTAAGTGACATACTTTTCACCACACACGAGATTGATAAAGCTGTCGCAAATCTTAAGCTTAGTAACACTATTGGTCCAGATGGTATATCTTCCATTCTGCTGAAAAACGGTGGCAATGACATGAATTTACTCCTACTCAAGTTATACTCAATTTCACTAAGCGATGGGACATAACCTACCTGCTGGAAGAAGTCTTATATTGTACCTATCCATAAATGCGGGCCTACAGCTGATATCAACAACTACCGCCCCATCAACATCACGTCTGTAGTTTCACGTGTAATGGAAAAGATAGTAAAGACTCAAATCATTCAGTACTTGCTGTCAAATGACCTACTATCCCCATTTCAATACGGTTTCTTAAGTAGAAGGTTGGGCATTACTTGCCACTTAGATTATTTTGACTACATTACACAATGCATTGATAATGGGCATTCGGTAACAACATTACGTCTCGACGTTAGCAAGGCCTTCGATAAAGTCCCACATATCAGACCCATAACAAAACTCCAATCCTACGGAATAACCGGGAAACTTCTCAAATGGATAAATTCTTTTCTCACAGAAAGAGAGCAATTAGTCAAAATCAACCACCAGCTGTCTCCATCAAAGCCGATAACTAGTGGTGTAATACAGGGTAGCGTTCTTGGCCCTATTCTATTCCTCTTATTTATAAATGACATAGTCTCTGTGATCAAGTATGGCAAGCCATATCTCTTTGCAGATGATCTCAAGATAGTATATGATTACGGGTACGATGATATGAGCGTCAAAAGCAAAATCCAACATGACTTAAACAATCTAGGCGATTGGAGCGAAAAGTGGCAACTGACTTTCAACCCAGACAAGTGCGGTATAGCCCACCTTGGACGCTGGAAACCGAGAATGTGCCTATGTATGTACGGTAAGCTCCTCTCGAAACTGAACACTGTCACAGATCTCGGGATAACATACTCAGATCTAGCCTTTTCTGACCATGCAAATAAGGTTGTATCCGACTGTAAACGACTTATTGGCTTTGTGCTGCGTAACTTCTACACCCAAGAAGCAAGATTAGCTATATATAGAACGTGTATCCGCCCCAAACTTGAATATTGTGCTCTCCTGTATAGTAACCTAAGGTCTGCAGACCGAAAAAAATCGAGTGTTCAGAGATTCCTAACGAAACGCATAATAGGGTTTGACCAACCAGTGGAATATGTTGACAGGTGTATGCGTCTGAATTTAGAACCTCTGTGGTTAAGGAGAGTGAAGTGCAACTTATTTCTACTATTCAAAGTCATAAGAAAACACTGTTATAGTAACTCATCCATAACGTGGGAAAATATTAAATCATATCAGCTGCGAAACCACAACTACCTTGTCAAGGTGGCTACCCACAGAAAATCCATTAGGGCAAACTTTTTCACCATTAAATATTGCACTCTTTGGAACCAACTACCATCTGAAATTAGATGTTGTGAAAACCCCAATGGGTTCAAACGGAGCCTAGAGAGACACATTAACATGTCCACCCTAGCTTGTCTAAAGGACCACAAATGTTGGTAAAATGGTAAGTAAAAGCCGGTCCAGTCTTCAGCTCAGTCAGTTACATACAACTCGACTCTACTACTTACGCAGCGAACGTTTAACTAATTTACTGATTTTCCTTTCTGTATAGACTTCAATAAGTTATGTTAATATAAGTACTTCTAGAAACAACTATATTAGCAACCACACCTTTTAATATTTTACATATGTATATACAGTTAATAATACAATGCTACTTTTTGTGTCTGAATGACTTTACTCAGCCAATAACCACCTTTTCTCATACACCTTCCTAAAACGTATAATCTTTATAATATTTCGCAGTATTTTTAACATTATATAAGTTGAAGGGCTACTTTGCAATATCTAATGCGCACGGTATGAAAATCGGTCATGAAAATTTAGCATAACTAGCTCTGTTAACCGGCTGTTTTCTTCAGGATCATTATACATAATTTTATCACTAATTGTTCCACTACACTTTTTACTCTGCTAAATAGACTTCAACTTAGTTGCTGTAATACTAGCTACTTCTATACTTCATACTTCTTAAACACAATTTCCTAGGCGTCTGCCACAAATATATTATTAATATTATTAGTACTATTTTTGAGTTGAAATGACTATCTTCAGTCAACAGTTACCCATTTTCATATAATTTTCTAAAAAACTCATATTGTTGAAATTGTGTAGTATTTTTCCATTATGTAATTGATGAGTCACTTTGCAATGTGTAACGCACACCATATAAAATCGGTCGTGAAAATTTAGCATAACAAGTTCTGCTAACCAGTTGCCTTACTCAGGACCACTTTACATAACTTTATCACTAATTGTTCCACTACTCATATCACTCTGCTAAATAGAATATAACTTATTTGCTCTAATATTAGCTATTTTTATCCTTCATAACTCTTAAGGGAAACCTAATTTCTTAGTCTTTTGTAGTAACCCACTTGTTCACTAGTATGATGATAATATTGCTAACAATGTCCTCTGGTATTATTGTGCCATGTGAACTAATGGGAAGCACTTGTCATGAAAGCTGTTAATGTGCTGCATACTGTATGATTGGGGTGGGGTCAAAGCAATCCAATATTACGACTGAAGTCATTGTAATAGGTCTCAGAGCTTAATGTCAAAAAAGGAGGGAGGGTGGTGCATGCTGATCAGCAGATTTGGTAGTGGTCACAAATGTGAATCGCTCCGATCTGTAGGACAGCAACATGCATTATTTTGGCAGCTCGAGAATTAAACATGAGTTTAGATACTGAATGTATAAAAAAATTGACTTTATAAAAAAATTTAAAAAAACAAACTAAAACAATAATGACTGTACAGTTTTAGCTTGTAAAAAAATAATGCTTTCGCTCCTAACATCTACAAGCCTGCTCAGTTTCTTGTCAAGATGCTATCCCATGGGCCATACACAAGTTCGCCAGACATCCTACAGGTCACCATATTCAACAGGTTCTAATCCTTCTAGCCACTTCTCTCTGAAATGTCACTTATATACTTCACGATAATCCTTCTACCTAATTACTATTATACTCTATTTTATCTCAACTTCCTAGGCCTTTAGTAAAGCTGAAATTTACTCTTTTGTTTTTCTTTTTTCTCATTCACACTCTTCTCTCGCATAAAGTTCGGTTGCTCTGATGGTAAAAAAAACATAACAACAGCACTCATGTTTGAGAATAACTTTATTTTCATAGAAAACGTCATAGTTTTCTATGGTAAGACCAATATGGTTAGCATCATACATTGCAAATGTGCACTATCATATCAAGTAATGTATAGCTTATTTTTGTATTTTTCTTGTAAATATACTTCCAATAATGTATTATTCATGATTGCATTTTATACCACTTTGTAGCTGTGCAGGATTTTCTCCTCTTCCTGAAATAGCGTTCAAGCACGTGGTTGTCACTCAACTTCGATGGAAACCTTCGTGGAAGATTTACAAATTAACAATTATAAGAATCTGTTCCGATTGCTTGTACAATATAATTGAACAATTTGAACTTTTAAAAAAGTGATAATCTTACTATCCCTTGTAAACGTTGTACTTACCTCAATATTGGTTGGCTATCGTATGCCTACAACTACGGGTTGAAAACAAAACGAAGTCGATTTCCTGCGCAACCTGGAGGACTACTGTTTAATTCAATAATGATGCGACATGGGTCAGACAGTGAGTGTATTTATATATATATCAAATATTTAGCTGTTCAAACATTATTAACTTGTAGACAATCTACTATTTGACATTATATCATACTTGATCGTGCCTGTAAAAATGGCATGCATTTTCATGTAAATTTATGTTTATATGAAAATATAAATTATTATTATTATAAATACACTCATTGCC